TTCATACCAAGTTGCCCGTAGTTGATTCCAAGATTGGTTATATTTGCCGCACGGTTAACTTTGGTTGCATCTTGGGAGCCTTGGTGTCATTCTCAGTATTACTTAAAAAGTACTACCATAATAAGTTGGGGGAGTTTGACATCTGCCTGACATATGGGTTGCTGATTGGGGCATTGGCATTGGATTTGATATCCATCTGCTTACTTATGTTCTCTGATTGGATTATCATTAGAAAGTACACTTCCAGAAAGAATTATGATGAATTTATTAAAAGGCGCAGGTGGTCGAATTTAGTTCCCCAATTAAATATTTTTGCTTGTCATTTCGAGAATAAAGATGGAGATTATTCAAACAAATTGTTTTATTTTCTTGGCACAAGGAGTTTGTTTGAAAGCATAAGAAGAAGAATCCAGTGTGTGTCCCTCGAAAATTTTGTAGAAGAACAAGCTTGGGAGTTCATTTTTACAATGCTACAAGAAAAGGATATTGGCGAGGCTGGCAAGGAAATCTTTGGTCCATCTAGAATTCTCACCGGTCATATTACCAACTTCGCTTGGACCCTCGACAGGTTTGAGTACATGGAAAGCCTTCTGATATGGCACATAGCCACTGAAATATGCTACGGAAAAGGATGTCCAGATAACAGCTCCAGCAGTTCTACTTCTACATCCACTAATTGTTTTGATCATCGAAAAATATGTAAGTTGATTTCAGATTATATGTTTTACCTTTTGGTAATGGAGCCTACCATGACAGCCACCTCGCCTAACAATTTGAAGATAGTTTTTAAGGCAACAGATTTTGATGAAAAATGGGAGTGGCCAGGTTATTGGAAGAAGGGATCCAAAGAAACATTCATTAAAGATCTACTGGATAAGCTATTGGAAGACGAAGCTGAAATTGTTTATAGAAATCTAGATCGATGGAAGAAAGATGTGGACAGGTTAGAACCCAAGGAAAAGGATAGAATAGCTGGCTTTCCGAGGATAACCGTTGCAGGTTTTCTTGCCAAGGAGCTCCTCCAATATCAGTCCGGTGGTTGTCCGTGGGACTTAATGAGTAGATTTTGGGTAGAAATATTATGCTATGCTGCTATTCATTGCCAACCCATTGTCCATGCACGACAAGTAAGCAGAGGTGGACAATTTCTCACCTTGGTTTGGTTGTTGATCAATTACTTGGGATTATCTCTTTCTTTAAAGAATTTGGAGCCGCCAAAACCTCGAATCTTAGGAAAGAACAGATGACTAGACAGGTAGAGACAGCATTGCAAGACCCTCGTTGGCCTCTTCTATCCTTGTTCTTTCAGAAGGAACTCGTACACGAGTTGGAGATCATCTCATCTACTTCATAAAATTGTCTGTCAAATATAATTACAGAGTCCTTTTTCTTTTTTCTTTTTTTATTTTGACTTCGTGTTTAATTTGAAAATTTCTTGTCCATTTGTTCAGTACCACATTATATTCTATCGTTAATTATGTTATGTGTTGCTGTTTTGAAAACTTGTATTTTTTTTTTTTTGAATATTTTGTTAGGGTCGATTCGAATCGTTGTTTTGAAGGAAAGAAATATAAACCTTATAAAAGTGACCAAAATCACTTAACCCACAAAGTCTGATTATTGAAAACTTGTATGTGAATTCTAAACAAATATATATATATATATATATATATTACTATGTGTGATGTTATGGTAACCTATGGAGTCCAAGACAAAGGGTGCTTATAACTTTTATGTCTTATCTGTCAGAAATAATATTGGATTTGGCATGGAAAAATCGTACCGGCGATCGCAGCAATGGTACGGTAAAAATGTCAATCGTTAGCACCTAATGTAATTTGGCATTACCATTTTGGGCTGTCATTCGGCATTGTTATGGAGGCCCAATATTCGATTTACCGTTTGAGCCTCCAGTTTACTGCTGCACTACCATTCGGCCCATTTTTATTTTTTATTTTTTTAATTTTTATTTTCTTATTATTTTAACTTTAATTTTGCTTTAGACATAAATAGTCTCCACATTTTCTTTTGGGAAACCCTAAAAAGGCCTTTATCTCTCCTTCCTGACAGTCCCCGCCTCTACTATTCTCTTTGTCCCTATGTTTTCTCCCCTAATCTCATAAACCTCCTTTTTTTTTTCCTCCTATTTCCATCACTTTCTTCCCCCATTTTCTTTGGATACTACTCTCAGTTTGCTTATCCAGGGAAAAAAGAAGAGATGAACGATTGATTTCATGGGAAAAAGAAGACATGAACAAATGATTTCATTTGGTTAAATGTTAATTTTGTTTCTTCAAGTTTTGTACAGTTTTTGTCTCTCAATCTTTTCATATATTTTTTTAGTCCCTTAATTATAAAAAAATTTCTTTTTCAATCCTTTCATCAATTAATTTATTAAGTCTATCCCAATATATATTTTTTAATTTCTCAACTTATAATATATACATATTGTTTATCCCTTAACTTAAAAGTACAAGAATTAAAAATGTACATATATGAACAGATTTAATGGATTAATTAACAAAGGGACTAAAAGATATATATAAAAAGTTAAGTGATAAAAATTATGCAAAACTCTAAAGTTAAGGAACCAAACTTTGGCATTTAACCATTTCATTTTGCATGTTTTCTTGCTGGGATTGGAAGGGGAGATCTCATTGGTTTTTTTTTTTGGCAAAACTATTCCTTAAGCCCTCAAACTTGCCCCATTTTTACAAATAAACCCCTAAATTAAAAGACACAAATAACCACTTCAACCTTGCAATTAAAACAGATTAGCTTTTCAATTAATGACTACTGATAATTCTATTACCTTTAGTCAAAAGATATGACTGCCATGCACATATAACTGATAATTAAAAGAAAATAAATAATTTCAATCTAGTTGTTAATTTCATTTAATTATCACATTGATGCTTAATTTTTTTAGGCTTAGTTTTTTGGTGTTGTGATTAGCCATAGATTTTTTGGTATTTTACTATCTGAAAAATGTATAAAATATCAAGTAAAATTAATAAAAGTACAAAAAAAATAAGAATTATAAATTTATATTTTAAAATAGTACATATTAGTACATACTAAGAATTATAGATTTATATTTAAGAATAGTACATATTAGGCGGTGGGACAAATTTCTTGGCCAGATCGGATCATGAACTAATCTGTTTCAAAAGTGATTAAAAAAAGAACAAAGTTCTTCAAACATCGGTTTTGTGGATCTCGAGTCAATTGTGGAACAAATTAACGGCTTAGTCAATCCAATGGCTGGGGGTTTCAACGTTTTAAAGGAACCTGGGCCAGATCACCGGCAATGCATGCATGTTTACATGTTGCCGTCAATGTGAAAAAGGTATAAAATTAGATGTGGATGGGCTAAACAACTCAATCTTTATTCTATTAAACTCTTGTGCTTTCAGTGGTTTCGATGAAATGATTTTGTTTAACAAATAGATTATACATAATAATTTTCTTAAGTATGTATTTTTTTTTTTTTATCAATTATCCTTTTTGTTACTATTTTCATTTCATTTTAATAGTTCAATTTTTGAATTTCCAAATTAGACAATTTAAGAATTAACAAAAATCTCAATAATTACTTGTTCGATTAACTTTTGTCGGCTTAACTCTTTTATCTAATAAAATAAAAGTATAATAATTAATTTTTTATTAAATTGTCTAAATATTTTTAATGAATACCCTTAATGAATATTTTTTGTATATTAATTAATTACAAATATTTTAATTTTTT